AAAAAAAAAAAAAAAAAAAAAAAAAAAAAGAAAGAAAAAAAATATATATATATAAAATTAAAAATAAAAAAATAACAAAAAAATAACATACTTATCTTACCTCTTATGGCCCAACCCTGCAAGGTAGATGCCATTTAAATTCTATTGGTGAAAAAATGGGAATTCAAAGAGATAAGTGACTTACCCAGGGCCACACAGTTAGTTAGGTGTCAGTGTCTTGGCTGCAATACCTGGGCTCCGTCATCTGGGTTGCAGGGATTCTTTACTTTTCAGGACTATAGGATGCCTGTGAGATCATGGTGAAAACTATGGACACTCCCTTCCTCCACACCCTGCCCCGCCAAAAAAAAAAGTTTGCGCACGCGCGCGCGCACATCCACCCACCGACACACACACACACACACACACACACACACACACACCACACACACACACACACACACACACACACACACACACACACACACGCTTTTTCATACCATTTTATATGAAAAGCGGTGTGCGGTACAGTTCCTGCCTCTGGGAAATGCTTTGAAGAGTAAATGAGGCCGGGCGCCCTGGCTCACGCCTGTAATCCCAGCACTTTGGAATGGCGTTATGGACAGATCTTCTGAGGTCAGAAGTTCGAGACCAGCCTGGCCAACATGGCGAAACCCCATCTCTACTAAAAATACAAAAATTAGCTGGGTGTGGTGGTGTGCACCTGTAATCCCAGTTACTAGGGAAGCTGAGGCAGGAGAATTACTTGAATGCAGAAGGTGGAGGTTGCAGGGAGCCGAGATTGCACCACTGCACTCCAGCCTGGGTGACAGAGGGGGACTCCAACTCAAAAAAACAAAATAATAATAATAATAATAATTTTAAAAAAAAGCAGAAGAAAAGAAATAACAAAAATTAAAGCAGAAATCTGTGAAACTGAAAACAGGAAAACAACAGAGAAAAATCAATGAAAATAAAAGCTGGTTCTGGCCGGGCTCAATGGCTCAGATCACTTTGGGAGGCCGAGGCAGGCAGATCACAAGGTCAAGAGATCCAGACCACCCTGGTCAACATGGTAAAACCCTGTCTCTACTAAAAATACAAAAATTAGCTTGGCATGGTGGTGTGCACCTGTAGTCCCAGCTACTCAGGAGGCTGAGGCAGGAGAATTGCTTGAACCCGGGAGGGGGAGGTTGCAGGGAGCCGAGATCTTGTCACTGCACTTCAGCCTGGCAACAGAGCAAGACTCTGTCTCAATACTGGTTCTTTGAAAACGTGGATAAAATCAATAAGCCTCTAACCAGGCAAGAAAAGAGAATGCAAATTATTAATGTCAAAAATGAAAGAAGGAACGTTACTATAGATTCGATGGATGTTAAAATAATAAAGGAATACTAAGAACTCTATGTCCACAAACTTGATAACCTGGATGAAATAAGCCAGTTCACTGAATGACACAATCTGCCAAAACTCACACAAGAAGAAACAGACAATCAGAATAGGCCTATATCTATTAAAGAACTTGAATAAATAATAGCCTTCCAAAAACTGAAAGCACCAGGCCCATGGCTTCACTGGTGAATTCTACACCAAACATTTAAGGAAGAAATTATAACAATTCTCTGAAGCTAGAAACAGCCACGAGCTGACTTTATAGTGAATGATTACTGCTTTCTCCTTAAGATTGGGAACAAGGAAAGGATGTCTGCTTCCACCACTTCTATTTGACATAGTACTGCAGGTTCTAGCTAGGGTAATATAACAAGAAAAGAAATAAAAGGCAGATTGAAAAGGAAGTAAACCTGTTTATTCTTGGGTGACATGCTTATTCGTCTTTGTTGAAAACTGTCTTTATGCAACTTATGAAGAAAGCTCCTAGAACTAATACTGAGTTTAGCAAGTATGCAGGATACAAGGTCAATTCAAATTAATTATAGTTGATGTGCTAGTAATATGAAAATTGGAAACTGAAATTAGAAAACAATACTTCTTAAAACAATTGCATCAAAAATATAACACAAGTTTAACAAAAATATGCAAGATTTGCACACTGAAAACTATGAAACATTGCTGAGAGAAAAAAAGATCTAAATAAATGTAGAGAAATTCATATTCTTGGATTGGAGGACTCAATATTGTTAAAATATCAGTTCTTCCCAAACTGAACTACAAATTCAATGCAATTGGCTGGGTGTGGTGGCTCACGCCTGTAATCCAAGCACTTCGGAGGGCAAGGCGGGCGGGCAGATCACCTGAGGTTGGCAGTTCAAGACCAGCCTGACCAACATAGTGAAACCCCGTCTTTTAAAAAATAAAAATAATAATAAAAAAATTCAATGCAATCTAATCTGAATCCCCAGCAGGATTTTTTGAAGAAATTGACAAGTTGATTCTAAAATTTATATGGAAATTTGAATAGCCAAAATAATCCTAAAAAAGGACAAGGCCGAAGAACTTAAACTACTCGGTTTTAAGACTTACTATAAGCTACACTAATTGAGTCAATGTGAAATTGGCATAAAGACAGACAAGTAGATCAATGGAACAGAAGAGGTCTTGAAATAGACCCAAACATATGTAGTAAGTTGATTTTTAAAAACAGGAACCAAGGAAATTCAATGAGTAAGATAGTCTTTCCAACAAATGGCGCTGGAACAATTGAATATTCATATGAACAAACAAACAAAACAACCCTGGATCCTTACCTTATATCATACACAAAACTCATTTCAAAGTGGAATACGTATCTAAATTTTAAGAGCTAGAATTATCAAACTGAAAACACAGGAGAAAATCTTTTCTAATTGGATAAAGCAAACAATACACTAAAAGCATGAATCATAAAAAACACTGTAAATTATCAAAATTAAAAATGTTTTCTCTTTGATAAAAACCACTAAGGAAATGAAAAAGCAAACTGTAGATTGGGAGAAAAATATTTGCAACATATTTCTGTTGAAGGACTTGTATGCAGAATATTGAAAAAATTACAACTCAGTAAGATGGCAACTTGATACAAAAATGGGCAAAAGATTTTAATAGACATTCCACCAAAGCAGATATATGAATTTGAAATAAGCTTATGAAAAGACTCAACATTATTAGTCATTAGGGAAATGCACACTAAAACCACAATGATGTACTACTAACATGCACCAGGATGGCCACAATTAAAATACTTGGCAATACCAAGTATTGGCAAGGATGTGAAGCAGCTGGAACTCTCATATATTGCTGGAGGGGTGTGAAAGGGTATAGCTTCTTTGGAAAATAAATTATCAGTTTCTTAGAAAGTTAAACATACATGTACCATACAACTCAGTAATCCTACTCATAGGTAATTATCCAAGAGAACTTAAAACCTATGTTTATTTATTTTTTTAAATTTTTTTGAGACGGGTTTTCACCATGTTGCCCAGGTTGGTCTCAAACTCCTGAGCTCAGGCAATCTACCTGCCTGGGCCTCCCAAAGTGCTGGCATTACAGGTGTGAGCCACCGTGCCTGGCTCAAACCTATGTTTAAAATAAAAACTTGTATTTGTTCATAGCAGCTTTGTGACAGTCTAAAACTAGTAACAATCTAGACATCCATCAACTGGAAAAAGGACAAAACCAAGATGTGGTATATCCATATGATGGAATGTTACTAAACCATAAAAAGATGAATCTCAAAAGCATTATGCTGGATGAAATATATTACACAGTGACTACATATGATTCCATTTATAAAAAGCCCTAGAGATGTACAATTATAGTGACAGAAAACACTCAGTGGTTGCCAGGGGTCAGGGGTGAATGGAAGAGATTGACTGTAAAAGGGCATAATGGAACTTTCTGAATTGATGAAAACGTTCCATGACTGTGGTAGTGGTTTCATGGCTGTATACATTTGTAAAACACTCATCTAGTGGTACACTTAAAATGGTGAGCTTTGTTGTATGTAAATTATATGTCAATAAAACCAAAATGTTGCTTTGGGGTGCTGCCTCCTCCTTG